CACTACAACCTATTCTTATCCTTGATTTTACAAAACTACAAACTATTCATATCCTTGAGTTTACTAAAGTACAAACTATTCTTATCCTTGAGTTTACTAAACTACAAACTATTCTTATCCTTGAGTTTACTAGACTACAAACTATTCTTATCCTTGTTTTTACTAGACTACAAATTATTCTTATTCTTGAGTTTACTAGACTACAAACTATTCTCATACTTGAGTTTACTAAACTACAAACTATTCTTATCCTTGAGTTTACTAGACTACAAACTATTCTTATCCTTGAGTTTACTAGACTACAAACTATTCTCATACTTGAGTTTACTAAACTACAAACTATTCTTATCCTTGAGTTTACTAGACTACAAACTATTCTTATCCTTGAGTTTACTTGACTACAAGCTATTCTTATCCTTGAGTTTACTAGACTACAAACTATTCTTATCCTTGAGTTTACTAAACTACAAACTATTCTTCGGAAAGAAAGAAAGAGAAATCGATAGAAAGTGAAAGAAATTAAAAGAAAGTGAAATAAAGTAAAAGAAACTAAAGGGAAGTGAAAGAATGTAAAAGAAAGGGAAAGAAAGTGAAAAAGTGAAAGAAAGTGAAAGAAAGTGAAAATAAGTGAAAGAAAGTGAAAGAAAATGAAAGAAAATGATAGAAAGGGAAAGAAAGTGAAAGAAAGTAAAAGAAAGGGAAAGGAAGTGAAAGAAAGTGAAAGAAAGTAAAAGAAAGTAAAAGAAAGTGAAAGAAAGTGAAAGAAAGGGAAAGAAAGTTAAAGAAAGTAAAAGAAACTAAGATCAAGTGAAAGAGAGTAAAAGATAGTAAAAAAAAGTGAAAGAGAGTAAAAGAGAGTAAAAGAAAGTGAAAGAAAGTGAAGGAAAGTAAAAGAAAGAAAAAGAAAGTAAGAGAAAGTAAAAGAGAGTAAAAGCAATTAAAAGAAAGTGAAAGAGAGTAAAAGAAAGTAAATAAAAGTAAAAGAAAGTGAAAGAAAGTAAAAGAAAGTAACAGAAAGTGTAAGAAATAGAAAATTATCTGAAAGAAAACTAAATAAACAAAAATTAGAGTAAACATCCTTTAAGTGATAAAACTCTAACAGAAAAAGAAAGAAAACTATTTCTCTACAAAAAGGTAAAATAAAATATCCATCTCTAGCTTATCTTCTTTACTAATCTCATCTCAATTTATTGATCATAAATTATCTCCTGTCTCCTGCAATCCTCTAATTTTCCTTCATCTTGTTTTATCTTGTAATCTTCTTTATATTTATATCTCTTCAATGTTCTGTATATTTTCTATTGGATCGGTTTATCCATATCAATATTTGATTGATGTGTGTAAACCTCTCAAATTATTAAATAAAAAGAAAATATAGTTCAGCAGAGAAGAGAATGGTTTTGTATCAACAGATAATAAACTGAAAATTCCGGTTCATTTGACGTACCGAACTTACTTTTATACACCTGGAGCAAGTTGTACAATATACATATGCAGACTATAGACGACAAGACGGGACGGTACACCAAATGAAAATCATCTTCCAGTAGGATTAATGTGATCTCCTGGTGCATTCAAGAGTTAAAGGGAATGTTCAAATATTTGGGCAATGTTGGAGGTATAAATTTTAAAGAGACGATTCTCAAATTTACCTTTATCTGTTTAGTTTAATTGAATTAATTCATGTATTCTGAGTGAACGGAAGTATTAAGTTTTGCTTTAAGTGTTCAAATAATAAAACGCATGAAATACCTCACTTAAAAAGAATTAATTAAAATATTATTAGGAATATTATCAAATCAATGTGAAGACGACAGAAAACGAACAACTGGGAAATCAATGATTTAGTGGAGACACGTTTGAATTAATTTCTCTTGAATATATATAATGAAATCTTTGAATAAGATTTTTCATATTTGTAATTAAAGTTAATTGAAATACTTAGATCTGCCTAATTAAACAAATGGGTTGATGGGTGTACCCAAAAACATTTAAATCGTCCTATGTTTTCAACTGTTATAATCGAAAATCATAGTCATGGGATTTCCAAAATGTGATCTGCAATAGATGTTCATTTAATTTTGAATCTGACGGAGAAATTAAGAAATATGTATAAATACAAAAAGACCATATGAGCCACACTTACAATCTTCATTTTAATAAAGCAACAGACCATATCATAGCTATCGTAAATCAAAGACGATTTAAGAGTACTTTTTTACTCTCCATGTTAGTTGGGACACACAATTACAGAGACACAGATATAAACTTATGGATACTATGGTGGTTACGGATCGAAGAGAAAACAGCAGGATTAAATGGTATGTTGTGTTCCTGTGTTTATGTATAATAAATGTTAGGATGGATATTCGACCTGATATAGAAACCGGATCAATAAAATATTGACTAGATATAGGAAGACATGTTAAATGATTTATATGGAGTCTTTCCTTCTACTTAGATCTCCAGGAGGCTTACTAGGTTTACTAGGTTTACTAGGTTTACTAGGTTTACTATATAGGTTTACTATGTTTACTAGGTTTACTATATAGGTTTACTAGGCCTGGGTTAACCATTCAACTATATTTTATCTTAGCATCAATATTTATGACCGAGTTTATAGACAAACCAGACCTTTCGGTATATTTTATCCTTTTTAAAGGGATTCAACCCAAGATTAACGAATATTTAAATATTTTTACAATTATTGTCTTATCTTAGTTTAGTGATTGGCGTTTATATCACTACACAATATTGACGCCTTTCTTTTTCAGTTATTCTTTTTAGCAAGCTGTCATTCAGAGCCCGTTTCTTTTGAACACTACAATATTCGTCAAGGGCGTACACAGAAACTGGTCCAGGGGGAGGGAAAATGTGTTTGTCTTTCTTTTACCACCCAGTGGGGTCTGGTAACCATAGATTAAATATATTCAGAAAGTCTCAGCCACCATTGGCTTGATAAGGAACGCACTCAGCTAGAGATACATAAAAATGTAAAAAAAGAGGAACTGTCAATTCAACCAAAATTCTCTTTTTTTAACAAATTCCGATCCTCCCTCATCCTTCTGAACTACAATATTGCGTAGAGAAATGTGTATTTCTATTTTAACTATAGTTGTTGAGTAGCTAGTAGTAGTAATGCATGTATTCACTGATCTGAACCTAACAGCAGATTTCCTGTCAGCTCCAGATAATCGTTTCTATTTATATCATCATATATCAGTTCTATGTAAACTAGGATACAGAGTAGGTTCTATTTATATCATCATATATTAGTTCTATGTAAACTAGGATTCGGAGTAGTGTCTATTTATATCATCATATATCAGTTCTATGTAAAATAGGGTAGGAGTAGTTTCTATTTATATCATTATATATTAGTTCTATGTAAACTAGGATGCAGAGTAAAGTTTCTATTTATATCATCATATATTAGTTCTATGTAAACTAGGATACGGAGTAGTTTCTATTTATATCATCATATATTAGTTCATGTAAACTAGGGTACGGAGTAGTGTCTATTTATATCATCATATATCAGTTCTATGTAAACTAGGATACAGAGTAGTTTCTATTTATATCATCATATATCAGTTCTATGTAAACTGGGATACAGAGTAGTTTCTATTTACATCATCATATATTAGTTCTGTGTAAACTAGGATACAGAGTATAGTTTCTATTTAAATCCTAATATATTAGTTCTGTGTAAACTAGGATACAGAGTATAGTTTCTATTTATATCATCATATATTAGTTCTATGTAAACTAGGACACGGAGTAGTTTCTATTTATATCATCATATATTAGTTCATGTAAACTAGGGTACGGAGTATAGTTTCTATTTATATCATCATATATTAGTTCTATGTAAACTAGGATACTGAGTATAGTTTATATTTTTATCATCATATAAATTAGTTCTATGTAAACTAAGATACTGAGTATAGTTTTTATTTTTATCATCATATATTAGATCTATGTAAACTAGGATACAGAGTAGTTTCTATTTATTTCATCATATATCAGTTCTATGTAAACTAGGATACGGAGTAGTTTCTATTTTTATCATCATATTTTTGTTCTATATAAACTAGGATACGGAGTAGTTTCGATTTTAAATCAACATATATCAGTAGTTTTATACGTTTTATATCAATTAAAATAATCTCCACCGAATTCGAATCAAATAAATCCTATCTTCCCTTTAATTTTTCATGTACACATCCTTCCAACACACATTGGGACAAGGTTTAATGTCTGTTCTCATTGTTTGGGGAAACCGCCATTTGTAAATCTAGATGTTGGACGTTTGTTTGAAATTGGCTAATTTATATTATTGTGTATATTCTATTCAACTCCGACGGAAGATTTATCCTGGAAAAAAGTTTATTTTCCATGGGTGAGGTTTGGTGGATATTTTTACAACTGTAAAAACAGAAAATTGTTTTTGGAGAGCAATTCACAAATGTCTAGCTTTAACAAGATTTTAAAAATCAATTTTTTTCTTCATTTATTCCGTGCTTTTAAATGGTATTACTCTTCTCCCATCCCTTTTTTGCCCTTTTTACTTCCTTTTTTTCAGTTTTCTTTATATCTCTTCCTTCATAACTTATGGCAAGTGTAACTTGTTGCTAGTGTTACTAATGGCAACACATGATGACAATAACTCCTTTTTCGATATTCTGCCCTCTCTTCATGTTATCTCTTCTCTTTGGTGCTTTAATTTCCCACTTTCTACAATCAATTCTTCAGTATTTTTTCTTTTTTTCTTTCCTTTCTACATCATTTTTTTCTGTCCTTTCTACCGTCTTTCCTTTCTACCACCTTTTTTCTTTCCTTTCTACCGCCTTTTTTTCTTTCCTTTCTACCGCCTTTTTTTCTTTCCTTTCTACCGCATTTTTTCTTTCCTTTCTACGTCCTTTTTTCTTTCCTTTCTACCGCCTTTTTTCTTTCCTTTCTACCGCCTTTTTTCTTTCCTTTCTACCGCTTTTTTTCCTTGTTTTTTCACCTTCTGTTTTGTTGAAGGTTTCCCTTGACAGATGAATGAATTAATGGAAGAAGAATAATAAATATTCCCCGGCTAAAAATACATGATAATGTAACTCTGGGTTGAAAAATGAACCCGGGGACTCCTGACTCAACTATCAACTAACAACAGAGAGCTATAGAGGAAGAAAACATAAAATTTCAGGTATTTAAGTAAATAAATATGGGTAGTCTTTGATCTGATATTTATGTGAATATTTGAATGATATTTTCGAAAGTAAATTTACGATTAATTACAAATACTTTACAGGGAACTTAAGGGAATTTTACTTCATTAGGGGTTCCCAAGACCAATTTTGCCTACAAAACATTGAGTATTTACCATCATTGGGTTTCGTGCCTCCCCCCCTGCCGGGCCCTAGGATAGAATGTAAAGGGAGTGTCTAGCTACACATGGTAGTTGAGCTGAGAATGCACAGTATTGTAAAGATTTTAAGACGTTTGTACGCGGTGTGTAATTGCTAAGTATGAGCGCAAAATCGATCTTTAAAATTCTCTTGGGCGATCTGCTGCCCAGCAGGTTGTGTTGCGGCACAGCTGCCAAGCAGGTTGTGGATGGGGCCAAAGAAAGTGTCTGACTAAACATGGTAGAGCTGAATTAAGTGGTTTCAAGGGAGTCTCTGACTAGACATACGCCAAAGAGGATTTTAAAGATCGATTTTGCACTCTTTCTTAGAAATTAAACACTGTTTTAGAAACTTAGGTGGACGTCGACAATAATTTGTTAGGTTTGCTGGTCGGTCAATTGGTTGGTTGGTTGGTTGGTTGGTCGATAGGTCCTTTGATAAATAGGTTCATTGGTCGGGCTCCTCAACTCTGAAAAAAGTTGCAAATAATCTTGTTAACTGATATATTTCTAACCTGCAATGGAATGCAGGTATAATAAAAGTAAATGACAATGTATTAATGTAGTTGAATATTTAATAATACATATTACTAGTTTTCCGTTTCGGAGTAAAAAGGAGTGATGAAGAGTTTGAGGGTTTGATGTGGTAGTTTAAAACATTTGTAAATACTTCTGAAATATAAACCCGGTTGTTTCAGTGGGATTTACTATGGATTGCAAAGCTATTTATGGATTTGATCTTTCACTTCGTAAAACGTTTCACTGTTTGTTGTTTCTTTTGTTGGAGAGTACAGATATATTTGAACAGAGACTTGTTTTGCTTTGGGGTTCTCTCCGAGAGGGGTTTTGGTAAAGAAAACTACGGGAGGGGGGTTAGAAATTGTATTTATGGTCAACAACTGCAGCATATGTCTTATAGGTCTTAAATGATTTCTAAAACATTTCTCTACAATACTGCACTCTCAACTCATTCACCATGTCTAGTCAGACACTCCCTTTAAAGTCTCATCTGTTTACAGATTAGAGTAGTAGGATCCTAATCATTACGTCTCCTCAGAATTTGGAGTAAATAAAGCATGAATAACTTGCATTTGGTTAGGAATAGCTTAAACAATTAACAAGTATCAAACACATGTAAGTTTAATTTATAGTAACGAATCTCAGATTTATTATGTTTTATTTTTGTAAAAAGATGGTACAGTGCAGAAAGCCCCACTACCAGTTCCTTCACAAATTGCTCTAGACTAGTAGAATACTAAACAGAACATTAGGTTCAAATCTTTCCCAGATCTTTAGTTAATCCTTACTCAGGGTCCAATATTTTACTCCCAGTAAATAACTACGACATGGACTACTCAGTAGACTATATAGAGAAAAACAAAAAGCTGGGGTTGTATCATTTGTTGAAAATCATCTAAAAACTTCAATACATATTTATAATCTCACATACTGTAATGAGAAGGATAAGTGAGAAAACAAAGAAATATGAATAAAAGAATGTATAAGGAAATGAGAGAACGAATAAGAATGAATAAGAGAACGTATAAAATGAGTGAGGAAAAAAGAATAAATAAGAGAACGTATTAAATGAGATAGCAAAGAAGAAAAGAAAAGAGAACGATAAGGAAATGAGAGAGCGAAAAAGAATAAATAAGAGAACGTTAAGGAAATGAGAGAGCGATGAAGAATCAATAAGAGAACGATAAGGAAATGAGAGGACGATGAAGAATGAATAACAGACCGATAAGGAAATGAGAGGACGAAGAAGAATGAATAAGAGAACGATAAGGAAATGAGAGGACGAAGAAGAATGAATAACAGAACGATAAGGAAATGAGAGAGCGATGAAGAATGAATAAGAGAACGATAAGGAAATGAGAGGACGAAGAAGAATGAATAAGCGAACGATAAGGAAATGAGAGAGAGATAAAGCATGAATAAGAGAACGATAAGGAAATGAGAGAGCGACGAAGAAAGAATAAGAGAGCAATAAGGAAATATGAGAACGAAGATGAATGAATAACAGAACGATAAGGAAATGAGAGAGCGATGAAGAATGAATAAGAGAACGATAAGGAAATGAGAGAGAGATGAAGAATGAATAAGAGAGCGATAAGGAAATGAGAGAGCGATGAAGAATGAATAAGAGAACGATACGGAAATGAGAGAGCGGAGAACAAAATTATAAAAGCTGAGAACATAAATGAGAGAGCGGAGAACAAAATTATAAAAGCTGAGAACATAAATCAGAGAGCGGAGGACAAAATAATAAAAGCTGAGAACATAAATGAGAGAGCGGAGAACAAAATTATAAAAGCTGAGAACATAAATGAGAGAGCGGAGAAAAAAATTATGAAAGCCGAGAACATAAATGAGCGAGCGGAGAACAAAATTATAAAAGCTGAGAACATAAATGAGAGAGCGGAGAAAAAAGTTATAAAAGCTGAGAACATAAATGAGAGAGCGGAGAACAAAATTATAAAAGCTGAGAACATAAATGAGAGAGCGAAGAACAAAATTATAAAAGCTGAGAACATAAATGAGAGAGCGGAGAACAAAATTATTAAAGCTGAGAACATAAATGAGAGAGCGGAGAACAAAATTATAAAAGCTGAGAACATAAATGAGAGAGCGGAGTATAATATGAGTAGGAGAGTAGGAGAAGGAAATAAATGAGTAAAAAAAGCAAGAGCAACCACCTTCACTATTTAGTTGAAAGTTCTAGCTTAAAGTTCAAAAAGAGAGAAAAACAAGTCAAAGCATTGAAGAACAAAAGTTGAACAATAAACTTGCGAAGGAAAATGCAGTTATCAAAAAACTTTCTCTGATTCTAAAAACTAAACTGGTTTTATCTGACATAAAAATCTAACTGCAGATATGGACAGGAAAGGAAGTGCAATAATTTTTATACAAATATATCTAAACAGATAAAAAATTGCTAAAAACTGATACAAACAAATGAAAACAAATAAAACAGATAAAAACAAATAAAAACAGATTAAACATAGAAAACAAGTGAAACAACTAAAACAGACATAAATTTTACAAACAAATAAACAGTAAAAAAACAAACAGATACAATTAAAGAGTACAATTTTTTTTGACAATTAAAATTTTTTTAAACGTTTACATTATGAAACAAAACCAGTTTTGGAAATTATTTCTTTGCCGAAAAACTATATTTTGTGTATCCAACTGTATTGCAGAGTACTATGTGTATCCTGTGTAGAAAGCACGATTGTTTACTGTCTGTATACATATATACATATATACATATATACTATGGATCAACTATATATACATCTTCTTCCTTTCTATTCTCTAGTTCAAGATGGAAGGTGACTTAACTTTATGTTTTCTCTGTGGAAAACCTTCCTCTGATACCTGCTCGTATTGTCTCCAGGGAGCAGATTTAATGAATAACCAGATGTAGTTGAACTGCGAAGAAACAGTTGAACCACTTCTTTTGTGCTCCGGCTTAAGTAAAGTAAAGTGGTTCAACGTAGTCTACGTAGTTCAACTACTTCTCGTTTTATATTAAATCTGGTGTTAGGTTGGATACTGTTCAAAGTATCATTTATCAAAACATAGAGCACAGGATAGGTGTCTCCCGTTCCGTGTTGAAGTTAACCAGGAGAAGGGAAGATATGTGGTTGCTACCAGGTATACATAGTTTTATATAAATACACCACAAGGAGAAGGGAAGATATGTGGTTGCTACCAGGTATACATAGTTTTACATAAATACACCACATGTAAAGGAATTAAACAATTGCCATGATTAAAATTCCTTATTCTTTGCAACCTGATGTCGTGGACCTTTGATTTTAAAATATCGAAGGTTTACATCATCAGGTGTTGCAGAGAATAGTGATTAGAAAGTTTGAGATTGTGGCGAGTGTTCAGTTTTTATGAATTTGTGGATTTTCTACGTTATTGTTGCATTCAGGATTTTTAAAAATAGATTTAAAGGGACTGTAAAGGAAAAATGAAAGGCGGTATAGGATAAAGCCTGAGAATTTCAGGTTTTGAACGATACTTATAAGACATCTATCTTATGTTCCTGTCTCGAGAAATTGACATAAAACTGTGTCAAAATTATAGCAAAACGGACATATGTCAGATTTTGTATAAAAGTTTTAATATTAAATAGATCATATTCATCAATTACGCAACCAATCTGAAAACGACTATATCTCTCAGCAACCTGAAAATCTCAGGTTTGCTCCTGTTATAATTGATTTATTTTTATTTTGCATTTTTTATAGATATAATTGATAATATTATTACATTTAATTCGTATAGTCCTTATTAAGTCACCAGTACTTCAGCCAATGGCAGTGCAGTATACTGGTCACGTGATTTCCGTCTGTACCATTTGTCATTGGCTGAAGTTATTGTGACGTAATACGGACTATACGGACTATATGTAATAATATTATCAATTATATCTATTAAAAATTCAAAATAAAAAATTCAAATATGAGCAAACTTGAGATTCTCAGACTCCTGTGTGATATAATCGTTTTCATATTGGTTGCGTAATTGTTGAATATAATCTGTTTAATGCTACAACTTTTATACAGTCCCTTTAATATAGCTAGTGGTTGATAATGTAGGGTTATATACGTACATCATTACATGTGGTTCTAACAATAAAACTTTTTTTACTGTGGTCGTGTGGCTTTTAATAAACATCATTGTGGCTGTGTCCAGATATAGACTTGATAATAATATTGTAATAATGTGGATCTGCATACGAATACTTGGTTTTATATTGTGATTCATAATTATGGCTAGGTCCGATAAGTTAAGTTAAGTTAAGTCACATATACAACGTATACAATCTCTTTATTTTAGAGATATTGCTCCGTTAGAACTGGTGATTCTTGATACTCCAGGTAGTATTGGACCTAAACAGTTTACTAAACCAGTCTGTTTATCCTGCTTGAGCCCGGTATCTGGAGAGTTCTCCTGCTCCTCCTGCAACTACCCCATGTGCTCCCAGGAGTGTGCGGAGAACGTTATCCATACTCAAGGAGAATGCAACATTTTTCCAAGGTAAACAAAACGTAGCAGATAGTTTCTTGTTTTCTCATAATAAAAATATTAAACAAAATTGTGTTTTCATTTTTTTGTTGCATGTTTACTGGAAAATATCTAAATGATAAGGAACATGAATAATGTTTTAAATCTTTAATATAAAGGGAATGTTCCCGAAAAGGCTGAATCCAAATTGAATCTAAAATCGATCTCTGTCTCTAGCGTCTGGAATGTTTATTTGAAAAATCTGAGTAAGGTTCCCCCTAAAATATGCACAATTTATAATTTGAGGATCAAACTTTTTTTCGCAAAAAAAAAGTGAGGAGTCGGGGTTGCAAGTTTAGTTTGTGAGAATAAAAACTTTGTTGTTGTTTATCTTGAAATACAAATTTCAAGGTTTGATTGATGGAAGCTCACCCAGGTATAATTGAGACTCCTCTCTCTTTTTCTTTTCATAACACGTTAGTCCCTGGGAACCTAAGCCATGTGTGCACGTGACAAAATGTTGGCACGTGAGCAAGTTTTATCACGTAAGCGAGTGAAAATTTAAGCATTTAAGAACGTGAACTTGTTAATACCTGAGCACCTGAACACGTGACAAATAGAACAACTGAGTAGTTAAGATGTAATGATGCAAGTGAACAACGTGAACACGTGAACACGTAAAAATACGAACATTTAAACACGTGAACACGTTAAAATAAGAAACATAAACGCGTTTACACTTTAAAATATGAACATTTAAACACGTGAACACGTTAAAATACAAAACATAAGCACGTGAACAATTCAAAATACTAGACATAAACACGTGAACATTTCAAAATACTAAACATAAACACGTGAACAGGTTAAATATACAAATACATATTACCCCATTAACACATTAAAATACAAACACGTAAACACGTGAAAATGTGAAATTACGAAACATAAACACGTTAACTACAATTATTTCAACACGCGAATTTAAAAACAAGTAAACACGTTTCAAGCTCATAACATGTGAACACATAAAAAACACGTAAAATCATGAACGAACGTACGTAGACATGCGTAAATAAATTAAAAATTTTAACATGTGAACAGGTTAAAATGCGAACACATAGCCTCGTGTACGAATACGTAGACATGTGAATATATTAAAATATTGACACCTTAACACGTTAAATGAAAACGTGAAGATTATTAAATTCTAATTTGAATGGTTCTCTAGGTTTCCAGATATAAAGGATTACAGTACAGTACAACCTCAGTACGAGTGTATTGCTCCTCTCCGTCTAATTCTAAACAAGAACAAGGATCCACTTCTCTGGGATATGATTAAACTACACAAGGATCATACTCAGGATAGGATCAGGATTAATCCCCAGTTAGTTCAAGGTTAAACTCATTAAATAAACTTTGAATAAGGAATTCACAAATTGACTTTATTATGTAGTTTTTACTCGCCTTCTTAAAGGGAGTGTTCGCAAAAAATTAAAGGGGGTATAGGCTTACGCCGAAAAATAAGCGCCTTTGATCGCTACTAATCTTGCTTGTATCTATTGCGCCTATAAGGAGAAAATTGTTTAAAAACGACTCATATCGAAGAACGTAGCGTCTATACAAATTCAGAAAGTTGTAAATATTCTACTCGGATCGTAAAAAAATCAATTCAATTTTTAAAAAATCATTCAGATATTACAATAAATAATCATCGATAATTTTATTTAACAATTTTCTCTTTTGACGAAACAGACAAAAGTAAGATTAGTAGGGATCAATAGCTCTTATTTTTCGCCGTAAGCCTATGCCCCCTTTCATTATTCGCGAACACTCCCTTTAACCAAATATCTAAACATATGATTGTACAATTTAAAGTCGTCTTTATTCTTTCAACTTTTCTACAACCAGTAATCTAAATATTTATGGGTTAAAAGGAGTGCTCGCGAAAAATTAAAGGTAGTATAGGCTTACCGCGAAAAATAAGCGCTATAAGAAGAAAATTATTATAAATGACTCATACCGAAGATCGTAATGTCTATACAAATTCAGAAAGATTTATTCCTGTTTCAAGGATTTTTGATAATGAAGACGACCTTTTCATATTTTCCAGGAATGGTAGAAAATCCAGCGCCAGTGAAATATTATAAAATATTAACTGTATAAGAATACGTCGAATTGTTTGGAATTAAATTGATTTGTTTACGATCCGAGTTAATGTTGCATCTTTCTAAAGGTATTGAGTCTTTGCCACAAACTCTGCTTTTCTAAACCCTATATCTTTAGATTCCTATGTCGTAGACCTTAGATATTTCAAACTATGAATTCTGTTAGATCAAATAATGTAAGTTTGAAATATAAAAGATTTGCGACATTGGGTTCTAAAGATATAGGGATTATAAAGTCAGAGTTTTTGGCAAAGACTCAATTCCTTTGTATGGAATTACGTTTTTCGGTATAAGTCATTTTTACCCCCTTTCATTTTTCGCGAACACGATTTTCGTTATGTTAACCACATTCGCAAATATTTAAACTGTCCCTTTTAGAATAATGAGCTGATTAACCTTGTTTCAGAGGAGAGTTATAAGATTACAGGACTTCTCCTACAGTTCTGTAATCTATCCGGAGCAGGGTTTACGGAACAGGATATTATCTTCTCCTCCTCCGTCCTTGCCACCCATGCAGTATCAGTAGGAGAGAACGGACGAGGATTCTATCCTGTGTTTGCATTTATGTCGCATTCCTGTACCTACAATGCTAGGCATGTTATTGATGAGAGTAATTGTATACGGGTATACTCACAAACACAGATAAAACAGGAATGTTTCTGATTAACAGTTTTTATATTTATTTTCCTAATAGCCAGGATACTTACATCAGTAAATAATCCCGCCCCAAACCCCAAAAATAATTAAAACAATTAAAAAGGTTTAACTTAACAAATGTTAATCTTTGCATACTATATGTTCACCTGTCTGGAACCTGCATATTGAACATTGATCCCTTCTCTCTCCACCTTAATTCTTCTTCATCTTCGGCATGGTTCACACCGTTGCCGTTATGGGCCAGCAGTCATTTAGTAATTTTAAATATTTTCTCGTTTGCTCAACGTTGCCCTTTCCGTCAATTTCCTTCATTAACCTCTACCATGCATTAAAGAGTACCATTGAGAATCGAGTATGCCATTACTACGGTACTGTACTTTACTGTACTGTACTTACTGTACTGTACTGTACCAAGAGAAGATTAGAAACAAGTTTTTCCAGGGAGAAGAGATATGTATAACCTACACCAGTCTCCTATCCTGTACATCTCATAGACAGGAGAAACTAAGGTTAGTCTAATAATCCATCTCAATAAACATGAGAACTAAACATCTAAGATAAAGATAGACATTGCTATTTGGGTTGTTCAAAACATTTTAGGTTTTTAAATCATGAAAGCTGCTGCCTTAAGAATTTGAGATGCATCTTATATGTTAAAATTGTATATGACATATGACATCGTGTAAAATTTACTCTAAAGACTAATTTAAGGCCAAAACGGAAAACGAAAAACAAATGGGAAAATTTCTATTTTATCAGTCCTGTTCCCATATTGTTCTGAAAATAAAAAATACTGAATAACAAAAAACAAAATTGATTTTCTCTAATTAGACAGTAAAAAAAAATAATGAAATGTTAAACCGGGTTTGAGGGCGTTTCAGCTAAATTTAAATAAACCTTGTTCAGAAATCTCTGGTTCTTCTCCTGTACCTGTGCCAGGTGTTCTGACCCTACGGAGCTAGGAACCTATATCAGTTCTGTATCCTGTCCGTCCTGTCCGAATAATGGTATAACAAAAAATAAAGATTTTTAAAATCAAAACTATAAATAATAAATAATAAATAATAAATAAGGGTGAAAATATTTCAAAGAAAATGTCGATTCTGTTTTGTGCACCAGCAAAAAAAACTACAGCAAATTAGAAGCAACATTTATTAAAGAAAAAAAACATCCATTTGTCCGTTTTTTGATATTTTAAAAACGGGTTTTTGCTTATATTCAGATTAATTTTTAAAGGATTTTTACTATTTTAACGTTTCTGAACTCAACGGTTCAAGACAAATATTTTGATATCGATCTTGACTTATTTTGACGATTTTATTTGCTTACATTAGTGATTTCATATTGACACAAAAATGCAAAAATCTTTATGAGTTTGCAAATTATAAAAAAATGTGTCAAAGAAAACATTAGAACTGGTGCAAGGGGGATTTGAGCATTTTTATGAAAAAAGTGCTCAATAGTATCACCATTACTGACTGTTCCAAATTGAAAAAATAGGTAACAGAAATGGCTTAACTGGATTTTAAAATGAATATTTTAATCTTAAATGTTAAATTTTTTTTCATTTTAAACATACATGATTAGATAAGTAAACAATTGGCCGGGGATTTCATGTACTGTTGGATAAAATCCTTTTTCTTATCAATACTTTAAATAAAAACTGCTAATGATCTAATAAGTGTGTTCTTGTAAGCGTTTACATAAAACAGAACTTAATAAAAAAATTTAAAAAATTCGGCATTTTCTGGAAATTTTTTTTTCAGTGTTTAATCGAGTATAGCCTAGATTCAGAGTTACCCATGTAGGATTAGACTTCAATAACAAACTAACTCTTCAAACATCTGGCGGCTAAAATTAGTGTTTTCTTCCCTTATTATAGTATTCAAAGATAAAAAATGTTTTGGCAAAAAAAAATTTTAAAAAGTTTGAAGCCATGGGGAACATGGACAGTAAGGAAAAAGACTAAATAAAGTATCCTCAATTCGTCTTAAAAGTCTCATTCTTTAAGGCTAATCCTGTACAGTGTACAGTGTACCGTGTACAGTGTACAGTGTACAGTGTCCAGTGTACAGTGTCCAGTGTACAGTGTACAGTGTACAGTGTAAAGTGTACAGTGTACAATGTACAGTGTACATCCTTCTAAAACAAATCCCAGGGTGAAAAAAGAATGGTGCAATGAATATTCCTGTCTCTCTCTTAACATGGTTTTCAGACAAGATTATAGTTCTCCTTTAAGCTCTAATATCCCTCAATTAACTAAATGCAAATTAGAGATTGTACTTTAATACTTTACAACCGTTAAATTCATACTTCCAGGATAATCTTCTTTTCCTTCTTTGGAAATCTTATTTCAAAAAAAAACTTTTTGTTTTTTGAGATTTTCAACTTGTTTTCTCTTCGGAAATTTTTCTTTTTCTTTGAGATTTTCAAAACTTTGCCTCTTGGGAAATCTATTTATTTAGTTTTTTATTTTCCGAAATTTATATTTAAAAAATTCTTTTTCTTTGAGATTTCCAAATCGTTGTTTTCTTGGAAATCTTATTTTTTTTAAATCTTCTTTTTTGTGAGATTTCCAAATGGGTGTTGATCAGAAAACTTATTTGAAAAGGTCTTGTTTTTCTTCCAAAGAGTTTTTTTATTATTTTCATCTCTTCGGAAATCTTACATTAAAAAATTTTCCTTTCTTCTGATATTTCCGAATCTAATTTGAATTTTTCTTTAAAATTGCCTTTCAGATAGGTTAGACTGCATATATCGAATTTTCGGAGTATTTCTCAGAAACTGTTTAATAAGTCCAAGCATTTGTTCTCTTGTACATTCAAGTCATGATTTTAAATAAACAGCATTTGATCAGACCTGTTACAAGTTGGTTTACTAGATATTTACAAAGCCGTTGACTTTATAACAACATCAAATACACAAAAATAGCTTAAATGTCGTCCTCCTACTCGACAGTTTTATTTCTTCTTTTAAAAAAGTGTCAATTATAATCAAAACTTTCCCATCTTTTATTCTTTTTCTTTTTTTTATTCATACCTCCTAGTTCCAACAATAAATAAGAGGAAAGAGAGAGTATGCTGGAAATTTGGTGATTTGCTAAAGTTAATTTATCTTTTCTAACTTTCTGTCTAACTTTTATTTGAAAGTCCTGACTCCTGAGTTACCCAAACTATTTCATCATGAAATCTTATATTGAGATATAAAAAGTTTGTAGAACAACATTAAAAGTTGGGATGGGGTTTTAAGGGTACTTGGTGTTGGAAAAGGATGCCTGGAAGTGTGGAGAATGTTCTCTTAAAGTTTCAGAGTCCTTGGTTTCCTCCCTTCTCCAGAGTACCAGGTATACAGGATAGTTTACTCCCTTCTCCAGAGTACCAGGTATACAGGATAGTTTACTCCCTTCTCCAGAGTACCAGGTATACAGGATAGTTTACTCCCTTCTCCAGAGTACCAGGTATACAGGATAGTTTACTCCCTTCTCCAGAGTACCAGGTATACAGGATAGTTTACTCCCTTCTCCAGAGTACCAGGTATACAGGATAGTTTACTCCCTTCTCCAGAGTACCAGGTATACAGGATAGTTTACTCCCTTCTCCAGAGTACCNTGATAAATTAAAAATCAGATTTAATTTAAGCTTTTTTATTTGAGAATATATGACTAAGCACGAAAACGTTTTGAATTTTTATGCTTTTGAATAAATTTTGTAAGGATCAGCTAGCTAAGCTGAATACATTTTCATATATTGCTTTCAGTTTATTCTTTATCAAAATTTATTTAAAACGGATTTTTTGTTGATAATATCACAGATAATATGAAATGTTTCAACCTAGGTTCCAGTTTTCTATAATATTTTACAGTGTTTAGTATTCAGGGATATCATGGGAAACAGTCAAAATGGAATAGAGAAACATGAACACTTTCTAAACCAAACCAAACAACTTCTACATCCAAACAATTATCAGGTATATACTGTGAACCAAACCAAACAACTTCTAAATCCAAACAATTATCAGGTATATACTTTGAACCAAACCAAACAACTTTTACATCCAAACAGTTATCAGGTATATACTGTGAACCAAACCAAACAACTTCTACATCAAAACGATTATCATATAGAAATCTATTATATACTCTAAACAAAGCTAAACAACTATCTATTATATATCCTAAACCAAGCTAAACAACTATCTATTATATATCCTAAACCAAGCTAAACAACTATCTATTATATATCATAAACCAAGCTAAACAACTATCTATTATATATC